GGAGCTTAAGGGAGCCGAGGAGCAACATGAAACATAACTATATTCTCATAATAGGTGTACCAGAAAGGGAAGAAAGTGAGCAAGGGTTAGAGAACAAGTTTGAAGAAAAAATGGCAGAAAACTTCCCTAACTGGTGAAGGAAAGGTCACATAAGTTCAGGAGGTAGAGAGAGTCCCAATCAAGAAGAAAATAGGCCCATGCCCAGACACATTTAAATCATAATTAAAATGTCAAAAATTAAAGACAAAAAGGGAACATTAAAGGTAGCAAGAAGAAAAGCAATTTTCACCTACAAAGGAGCCCCCATAAGGCTGACACCTAAATTTTCATCAGAAACTCTATAAGCCAGAAGGGAATGGCATGAAGTATTAAAGGTAATAAAAAACAAGGATCTGAAAGCAAGCTTACTATATCCAGTAATGCTATCATTCAAAATAGATGATGAAATAAAAGAGCTTCCCAACCCCCCCTGCCAAAAAAAAAAAGAAAGAAAGAAAGAAAAAGGCTAACAGAGTTTATCCCACCATACCAGCACTGCAAAACAAACAAACAAAAACAAAAAAAATCTAAAGGGATTGCTGTAATAACAAGGAGAGAGAGAGAGAGAGAGAGAGAGAGAGAGAGAGAGAGAGAGAGAGAGGGAGGCATGCAGAATTTAAATGGGAATAAGTATCTATCAATAATAACCTTAAATGTAAATGGATTAAATGCTCCAATCAAAAGACATAGGGTAGCTGAATGGATAAAAACACATGAACCAATTATATACTGTCTACAAGAGACCCACCTCAGAACAAAAGACTCACACAGGATGAGAGGAAGGGATGGGGGGGAAAATTCTTCCATGCAAATGAAAACAAAACAAGTTAGGGTAGCAATAATCATATCTGACAAAATAGACTTCAAAATGAAGGACATCACAAAAGACAGTAAGGTCACTACAAAATACTAAAGGGATCAATCCAACACAAGAATATAACCCAGGTAAACATATATACACTCAACAGAGGAGCATCTGTCTAAATATGTAAAACAGCTTCCAGAGGACTTTGACAGGTTGACAGCAATACAGTCATGATAGGGGACTTTAACACCCCGATGACTTCACTGGATAAATCATCCGGACAAAAACGTAACAAGGAAACAGAGACTCTAAATGACACACTGGATCAGATGGATTTAACTGACATTTAACTTTCACTCTAAATCAGCAGGACACACATTCTTCTCAAGTGCACGTGGGTCATTCTCAAAGATAGACAACACATTGGGACACAAAACAAGTCTCTACAAGTTCAAGAAGATTGATGTCATATCAAGAATCTTCTTAGATTACAATGGAATGAAATTACAAATAAACTACAGTAAAAACACTAAAAAACATTCAGACTTATGGTGGCTAAAAAGCATGTTATTAAAAAATGATTAGGTTACCAATGAGATCAAGAAAGAAATAAAAAAAACATCCTAGAAACAAATGAAAATGAACACACAACTGCCCAAAATCTATGGGATACAGTGAAGAGTCCCGAGAGGGAAATTCATTGCACTGCAAGCATGTTAAACCCGTGGCTAGAGGGCTGCATGCCTCGACCCATGTTTGACATGTTTGTACTACAGGCATACCTCAAAAATCAAGAGAAATTAATAATAAACTATTTAACCCTACAACTTAAAGAATTAAAAGAGAACAAGAAAAGCTCAAAATAGAAGAAAGGAAATAGTAAAGATTAGAGCAGAAATAAATGACATAGAGGCTAAAAAAATAATTTAAAAAAATCAATGAAACCAAAAGCTGGTTCTATGATAAGATAAAAAGATTGATGAACCACTAGCAGACTCATCAAGAAACAGAGCGAGAGGAGCCAAACAAATAATAGCACAAAAGAAAGGGGTGGAGTAACAACTGTCACCACAGAAAGACAAAGGATTGTAAGCTATGAACAACAATATGCCAACAAGCTGGACAACTGGGCGAAATGGACAAATTCCTAAAAAAAAAAAAAAATACAATCTTCCAAAACTGAATCAGAAAGAATCAGAAAACTTAAAAAGGCCAATAACTGAGGAAATACAATAAGTAAAACAAAAACAAAAACAAAAAAACTCCAAGCAAACAAAAGCTCTGGTCTGGATGGCTTTACAGGGAAGTTTTACAAAACCTTTAAAGAATAACCAACACCTATCCCCCTCAAACTATTTCAAAAAATCCAAAAGGAAGGAATACTTCCACATTCTTTTAATGAGGCGAGCATTATCCTAATTCTAAAACCAAATAAAGCCATTACAAAGAAAGAGAACTACAGGCCAATATCCTTGATGAATAAATGCTGAAGTCCTCAACAAAATATTTGCAAATGGCATTCAGCAAGATCATACACCATGACCAGGTGGGATTTATTCTAGGGATGCAAGGCTGGTACAATATCCACAAATTAATAAGCATGATACATTACATAAATTGAAAAGACAAAAATTACATGGTCATATCAATAGACGCAAAAAAAGCATTTAAACAAAATACAACACCCATTTTTTAAAATAAAATCTCTTAGCAACATGGGAATAGAGGGGTCATATCTCCACATAATAAAGGCCATATATGACAAGCCTACAGCCAACATCATGCTCAATGGGCAAAAACAAAAACATTTCCTCTAAGAACAAGACAGCGATGTCTGCTTTCACCACTCCTTTTCAATATTAGAGGCCCAGTGCACGAATTCGTGCACCAGTGGGGTACCCTGGCCTGGCCTGTGGGATTGAGTCATAACCGGCTCTCTGACATCTCGAGGGGTCCTGGGTTGTGAGAGGGTACAGGTCAGGCCTAGGGACCCCACAAGTACATGATCAGGGCAGGGAGGGACGTGGGAGAATTGGTCATCTGGGGAGGGACTGCAGGAGAGCTACAGGGCGTGTCTGGCTTGTCTTGCTCAGTTCTGATGGCCGACCCAGCAGCAAGCTAACCTACTGGTCGGAGCATCTGCCCCCTGGTAGTCAGTGCATGTCATAGCAAGTGGTTGAGCAGCCTTAACATATCATTAGCATATTGCACTTTAATTGTGAACAGCAGACTGGTCGACTGGACACTTAGCATATCAGGCTTTTATTATATAGGATAGTACTGAAAGTCCTAGCCACAGATCAGACAAGAAGAAGATATAAAAGGCATCCAAATTGGAAAGGAAGAAGTAAAACTCACATTATTCACAGGTGACAGGATATTGTACATAGAAAACCCTAAACACTCCACCAAAAAATGACTAGATATAATAAAGGAATTTGGCAATGTAGCAGGATACAAAATGAACACCCAGAAATCGATGGCATTTTTATACACCAATAATAAATTCTCAGAAAGAAAAACAAAAAAAAAATCTAATTTACCACTGCAACAACAACAACAACAAAATTAAGATGCTTATTAATAAACTTAACCAAGATTGCAAAAGATTTGTATGTGGAAAACTTCAGGACATTGGAAAAAAGATAGAGGAAGATATAAACAGGGGGAATAATATATTGTGTTCATGGATTAGTAGAACTAACATCAATAAAATGTCCATACTGCTCAAAACAATTTATAAATCCAATGCAATCCTTATTAAAATACAAAGGCATATTTCACAGATCTAGAGCAAATACTTCAAAATTTATATAGAACCAAAAAAGACCTCAAATAGCTGCAGCAATCTTGAGAAAGAAGAACAAAGTTGGAGGAATCACAATACCAGATATTAAATTATACTACAAAGCAAGTGTATTCAAAACAGCCTGGTACTTGCATAAGAACAGGCATCTAGATCGATGGAACAGAACAGAGACCCCAGAAATCGACCCAAAACATTCCACTCACTGGTCATGCGGTTTGGACCCCTGATCTTTCATATGGCAGGTCAGGTGATTTAGATGCCCTGACCTTTTCCTCCCTGAAGGCAGCATCTAGGCCTCAGTTGTATTTCATCTCCAGGCTCAGAAAAGTAGTAAAACCAGACAAATGCTGCCCTGGCTGCCTTAGGACCAGCCACAGTGACTAATGGCCCTCTGCCCTGGCACCAGCCAATCAGTGAAGGCCACGACCCTGAAAGAGCACACCTGGAAGCTGATGAACATTCTATTTAGAACCTCCACCAAAACCTCCCCTAGGATTTCCACCTGCGAGAGAGAGATATCCTCCAAGAAGCCCTCCCTGCCATTCCCTTCCCCCTCTTCCCTATAAGGACCCAACCAGGAGAGCAATGGGCAGTGGCAGCTCATCCCGGGATAACCCCCTGAACCTGTCTCCCAGGCAGGTTCCCTGAGCCAGAGCAGCCCAGCCTAGGCTCTCCTGCTGCTTTGTCTAGGCCCTTCCTGTTTCCCTGTCCTAAGTGTATTTTTGCCGTCATCTATGGACCCAATACCCTTTGGCTCAGTGCTGGGTAGCCCCTCCCTTTGGATATCCCCATCCCCATCCCCTTTTCCTTAAATAAATTCCATTTTTCCTTATTCACTGTCTGAGATGGCTCTTAAGCCTGCCCTTGCATCACCAACTTTAACCTTTCAGTATCTTTTTATAATAATCTGCTGAGTAACGTATTCCTCTGTGTTCTGCGAGCCACTCTAGCAAATCAAACAAACCCAAGGAAGGAGATGCGGAACCTCCAATCTATAGCCGGCAGGTCAGAAGCCCAGGGGACCACCTGGACTTGCAATGGGCATCTGAAGGTGAGGGGGCGCAGAGAGTGAATTGAACTGTGAGGCACGCAGCTGGTTTCAGAGAACTGCTTTGGTGGTATATGGGGGAAGAGGAGGTGGGGAAGAATCCACATATCAGAAAAGAACACACCCGGAAAGCTGATGAACATTCTATGAACATCGAGCAGAATCAGAATGTATGTCTGGTCACCTGGCCAGAAGGGGACCCCAACATCCGGCACGGGTGCTATACTCATGCCCCCTCCTGTGCACCAGACCTCCTGTGAGAGCTGTTCCCAGCCTGGCGCCCCAGCTTTGCTGCCTACCTGGCCAGCGGTCGGCGTGAGCGTGCAGTCTGGAGAAGGTCTGTCCCGGAGCGGGCCTTGCTGCTGGCTACAGTCCAGCTGGATCAGGTGGCGGCACTCTGGGTGGCAGGTGAACTTACAGTCTGGAGGGAAGAGAGAAGCGGGGTTAGGGGCCAGGTTTCCCGAGAAAAACCTTGGGGGACTGCATCTCGCTCCAAGAACAGTGGAGAGAACAGTGGACGGTGGGAGAACACGCTGAGAATGAGGCCCTGCGCTCCACGCCATTACAAATGGAGGACATTGACCAGTATTATCCAGGCCTGCCTTGGAGATGCTGCACGTGTGGTTCCAGACCAATGCCATAAAGTGACTACTGCAATAAAGCAAGTCACACCACCTACAGAGAGAGTTACCGAAATGTGACGCAGAGACACGGAGGGGGCCAATGCGCCAATGGACCCGCTCAAACATCAATTTGTAAACACCATGGTATCCTTGAAGAACAATAAGAGAAGCACAATAAAACCAAGTATGATATGCCGATGTCTTGGCCTCTCTTATTTTGTGTGACCGTGCAATCATTATTGTTATCACTTTACAGACAAAAAACTGGGGCTTAGGGATGTTAATGGCTTTCTCAAGGTCAGATCATCTTCCTACAAAGATACATTAATCCGTGCTAATTCACATTAATTCATACTAATTCCCATGAATTTACACTAATTTACATCAATTTGCATTAATTTGATCTCCAGGGACCATGGATCCTTGGGGAAGGGCCTGACTCTTCTGGGCCTCATTCTGCCCGACTGTGAAATGTAGGTCACAGCAGCCCAGGCCCGGGGCACGGGATGTCTCTGGTTTTAAGGGAGAACAGGCCCTCACGGGTTACAAGTGCGTCCAAACACCTCGGCATTGTCCTCGGCAGCAGGAAAGGCTGCTCCCCGTCTCTGACCTGCCCCGTCATGACTTCTCTAATCCAGCTGACGCGACCACATCCCACACCAGGTGCTTCAGGCTGAAAGCACACGGGCCACAGTGTTCACGCCCATGGGAGCAGGACCTCATGGGCCTTGGGAAAACCGAGGCCCAGAGAGGCAAAGGGAGGTGCCCAATGGCACACAGCACGGTGGCACACAGCCAATGGCACACAGCACGGTGGTAGTAGTTCCAGGATCTTTTTTCTTTTTAAAAAAATATATTTTATTGATTTTTTACAGAGAGGGATAGAGTTAGAAACATTGATGAGAGAATCATCGATCAGCTGCCTCTTGCACACCCCCTACCAGGGATGTGCCCGCAACCAAGGTACATGCCCTTGACCGGAATAGAACCCGGGACCTTTCAGTTCGCGGGCCGATGCTCTATCCACTGAGCCACACCGGTTTCAGCAGTTCCAGGATCTTCAAGGCAGAAGGGAGGTCCAGTTACAGGGGCGAGGGCCTGGCTGGAGGGGGCAGGGCTTGTGGTCGGCAACTCAAGAGCCTGGACTGGTTGGGATATCCTGGTCACTAGAGGATAACTTTTTAAAATACAGATTTTTAAAAACTGATTTCAGAGAGGAAGGGAGAGGGAGAGAGGGATAAAAACATCAATGATGAGCCGAAACTGGTTTGGCTCAGTGGTAGAGCGTCAGTTTGCGGACTGAAAGGTCCCAGGTTCGATTCCGGTCAGGGGCATGTACCTTGGTTGCGGGCACATCCCCGGTAGGGGGTGTGCAAGAGGCAGCTGGTCGATGTTTCTTTCTCATTGATGTTTCTAGCTCTCTATCTCTCTCCCTTCCTCTCTGTAAAAAAATCAATAAAATATATTAAAATAAATAAATAAATAAATAAAATGTTCAATCTTTAAAAAAAAAAAAAAAGAAAGAAAGAAAGAAACATCAATGATGAGAGAGAATCACTGATTGGCTGCCTCCTGCACTCCCGCTACTGAGGACCGAGCCCCCAACCCAGTATGTTCCCTGACGGGGAATGGAACCATGACCTCGGGGTTCATGGGTCGACACTCAACCACTGAGCCACACAGGCCGGGCACTAGGGGACAACTTTTGGTTCCTAAGGGTTTAGGCTCCCAACACTTTTCCTTTGTTTTGAAAGCATCACACACACTCTATCGTGGGGTGAGGGTGGGTCTCTTCCCACGCTCTTGGAGCGTTCCGGAATGAGACCCTCACACTCCCCAGCTGCCCCCTTCCAACCACCCCCCAAGAGAAGCACCTTGCTCATTCCGGTTTGCCTCTGAAGTCTGCAGGGGAGCCCCCTGACAAATGCAGGGACACGCAGAGCTTCCAGAATCCTCCAACCTGACTCAACCCTCGGAAGCTCGCTACTCCTTCTGGGGCAGCAGATGACGCTCTGCTCATCTCCCTCAGGCCTGAAAGCGAGGCCCACGACGTCCCCACCTTCATTCTAGGCCTCCCTCCCGACTCCCCTCCTGGAAGCTGTCCCCTCACCCGGAGCCAGAAGGGGTGAAGCCAGCTCTCTGGGCATGCACCCTCCCCCTGCCTTTGCACCTTCCACCTGCACGCACCCACATGCATCTCTGGGTCCCCCTGTGGGTGATCTCTGCCTGGCACAAGGACAGCATCACCCAGGAGGGGATGTGCAGGCCAAGTCCCTCTCCTGCAGGGCCCAGAACCGCCAGGGCTTTGATAAGGCAGCACAGAGGCCAGAGCCCCACCGAGTGGCGTTGTTAGGGCTCCGCTCCTGGAACGCACCTGTGCCGCTCTGGCCGAGCTCTAAGCAGGAAGAGTGCTCGGGGTGCCCGGAAGTGGAAATGGGGAGGAGGAAGGACCAGAAGCTCCCCCAGTTTTCTAGCAAGAAAGCGAGCGCTGCCACCTACTCACAGATGGGAATGCGTCTTGGGAGGGGCGGAGGTCCCCCAGCCTCTTCCTTCGGCAGCCGGCTGTCGGTACAGAACACAGGCGCTCCAACTGATTCTCAATTTCCCTCTCCTCTCCTCCCCTCCCTTCCCACTCCGTCCCTGTCTGACACATACGCCCTGTGCAAAAAGCACCGAAACCTCCGGATGATTGTTTTGACAGGCCTTGCTGCTGGGCTGGATGGAGCCAGGAAACAGGAGATCCCAGAAGGAGTGTTTCCGGATTTTAGGAAAACCCCTTTGAGCACCAAAGATGTGGGTCCATCAGACCGTGTAACCACAGCCTGGAGCAAACACTGCAGCACATGTGATATAGTTCCTGGCCCCTGGGCATGCCACACTCAGATGAAGTCAGAGCCACCGTGCCTGTCTCCAGCCACAGCAGCAAGCACACGGGCCCCGCAGGAGGCTGCAGGCCTGCTGCGCTGAGTGGGACACCCCTGAGGTTCCAATGGCAGGGCCGTGTCCTCCTGGGACCCAGTGCTTAAACCCCGCACGCAGGTCCTCTCCCTCAAGGCAGCTCATCTCAAGGTGCTGCTAAGCCAACTGGGCCCTGGCTTCCATGTGCTCCACAGCCCCGGCTGCTGCTGGATCTGAGAGAGACGGGACTTGGTGGTGCAGGGCCTACGGGCTCAGCCAGCACCATCGCCTTTGGCAGCAGCTTCCACGTCCTGAGCATGGACTTCCCGTGCCCGGTACTCGCATGAGGGGGAAGATGAGAGGAGGATAGAGGGAGGAGGATAGAGGGAGGAAGATGAGAGGAGGATGGGAGAAGGATGAGAGGACGATGGGAGAAGGAACGGAGGAGAAAGGGAGGAGGATGAGAGGGCGGCAGGGGCCTCAGGCTAGCCGGGCAGACACATGCAAAGGTAACCGGTGAGGGAGACGGAGGAGGCCTGTGCTGGGGACACAGTGCCTGCGGCCACAGCTGTCAGAACGGCTTCACGGCACAGGAGGCTCGGGGAGCTCAGAGGATGATCAGACCCCAGGTGACTCCCAGTCCCTCGTGGCAGGGACCAAGCGGAGACAGGAGCTGAGACATCGCAGAATAGGCAGGAGGGGGACCTCCCAACCCGAGGCAGCAAAGGGTTAGGGAGAGCCACTCCGACGTTCTAACCGCAGTGTCTTCGGGGAACTGGCATGGCTTCGCCTCAGCACTGCCGTCTCCAGGCAGAACTGCCCCTCCCGCTCACCCTTCCCTCCAGCGCAGGCTCTGCCTCCGGCCCCAGGGGCGCGGGAGGAATAACTGTGCTTTCCGGTTGGGAAGAGGGGCCTGTGGACGAGAAGGGGCCGACTGTGAGGAGGAGAAAGGCGACCCACAGAGGGTCTTCTCCAAGGAAGGAACCAGGAGCCGGACGGAGAGGGCTCGCAGGGCCCACCCTCAGCCCGCGGCTCGGCGAGCTTTCCAGCTGCTGAAACAAAGCGCCATGGACAGGGCAGCTGAGGCTAGAAGTCTGAGTCAGTGTGGCGGGGCCACGCCCCCTCCAGAACCCGCAGGGGAGACCCCTTGCCGCCGTCTTCGCCTGGCCTTCTCCCTGTGGCCAGTCTTCACATGCCATCTTCTCGTAAGGTCAACCGTCATATTGGAATGGGGACCACCTGCTGAACTGGTTGCACCTGCAGCCGCCCTGTTTCCAAATGAGGCCCCACTCTGAGGGCCTCAGGCGATTAGGATGTCAACCTATGTTGGGGTGGGGCACAATTCAACCCACAACACAGAGCCTGGCCATACTGGGCACCCGTGCCCTTAGGCCCAAGCAGACGGGGTTTCTCATGGAACCAGCAGCCTGGAGACCAGCAGCAGACAGACAGGGGAGGCGGCCAGGGAGTGTGGAGCTGAGGCCCGGACACCCGCCTCCTCCACCAGCCCTGCTCCTGACATCCTCAGTCCCTGCCTGTCACTATCAAAGTCACCATCTGGAACCAGGGGGTCAGGCCCAGAGGTCCCGGCAACCAATGCCAGAGATGGCGTTCCTTCTTCCACTCCAGCCCGGAGAAGGTGAACCCGGCAGGCGGAACCACCTGTGCCAGGAATTGTTTTTCCAAAACGCAGACGCAACAAACCACCTCCTAATCCCCAGGGCTGCCCAGGTTAGTTCCTGCTCCACCCCAATTGCCACAAGACATACAAATACACACCACACACCACACACACGCACGCACGCACGCACAGAGGCACACACGCTGCTGCATAACCTGAGAGGCGAATTTTCATTGATAAGACATTCCACTGATAAGGAGCCCTGAAGGCCTTTCACCC